TTATATGAGGCAAGAAATAAAGAGAGAGGAAACCTAGCAGGTATAATCCAAAGCAATATTTATGTAGTTCTCTCCTTATTCTATTCCCTTCAAACTCATAAAGACTCTAATAAATATATATGTATACTTCATACTCAGATGTTACTAGCAAAACTTTCCTCAAATTCCTACTCCAATTTTTCAGGTCCTAATAGTTCTTGCATCTGAGTAGACATGCATTTATCAGTTCTGTTAGGTTCACCTATCATTTTATTGTTCTATTTTATCCTTTTTACAAATCAATGTTTTCTACAGAAGGCCAAAATATGAACATTTTTAATATTTTAATTGAATAGAACACTGAATTTTTCTCCAGACTTCATTCTACACACACTGTAATGTGCAAAACTTTAGAAGTAGTCCATATTATTATTATTATCTACAAACTGAATATTTATTCATGACAAGGTCATCAAATACCTTGCAAAACATAGTATTTGCCAATATTATTATAAACAAATATTATAAACAAAAATGCATAGAAAATAACTGAATGAGAAAGGAAATTATGGAAGAGGAACTAGAAACATGATATGCTGTTGAATGCCTAGTCTATAGATTCAGTGAGTTTGAAAATCCTTCTCATTCATGAAATGCATTGTACATCTCATAAAGTAAAACCACAACATTGCAACCAAAGTCATGGAAAAAAGACATGGGATTAATTTTGAAACGCTTCCTTCTTATCAAATATATTCAAATGCTAACAATAAAGGAGCAACCATTCAAGGATACAATAGAAGACACATTTATCAAGAATGGCCCGCCAAACTCAGCTTCTTAAATAGGCCTGAACAGTATATTGCAGTCAGAGATAGCAAAACCTTCCAAAAACAAATTGAATACAGAGGAAATTAAGAAATTGACACTACTACTGTTATAAACTATGGTTGATGGTAAAAAATGTTGGGATATCCCCCAAGCTACGTTTAAGCCACCTGCCCTTGAATAAACACAACAAAACTGTTAATTCAGCCATTTATCTTCTATCTGATAACTTCAAGATACAGCACAGACATTGCTGAAAGAAAGATGAGATTTATCTATATCAGTGGTTCTCAACCTGTGGGTCCTCGGGTGTTTTGGCTTAAATTCCCAGAAATCCCAGCCAGTTTATTAGGTGTTAGGATTTCTGGGAGTTGAAGCCCAAAACATCTGGGGAGCCACAGGCTGAAAACCACTGATCTATATCCAGAGTCCAGAACCTACATACATTCCTAGATAACAAACTTGCAACTCTTTCAGTTTGCATTCCTAAGTGATATCCCTGCCCTTGTCAGAAAGCTTTCTATCTCCAATTGTCACTATAATTGTTTAACAATCATTTAGTTACAGATAATTTTATACGCCCTGGAAACAAAAGGCATTAGATGCTAACGTGTTAATTATTAAGTCATTTACACAGGTCAGTGGGCAAGTGAACATGCAAATTCAAATTATTTACAAGATCAAGACAACAGATTCCAGAATTGTCTGAGGCTGCCTCTGGCATGGAGGAGATTGTACTGATTAACATCTTAATGCTCTTCCACCCTGCCCTTTATCCCAAGATCTGATCCCAGATTATTTGCTTTCAACTGGAATATATGAGTTCCCACTGCCAGATAACCTGGGATAAATAGATAATATGGGATCAGATTCTGGGATGTAGAGGCAGCGTGGAAGGGCCCTTGTTTAAATTCTATTTCATACATTGGTTGTTTATTTTTCTATTTTAGCTCTCTATGAGGGAAGAGGGAGTCCCTAAGAAGATTCTCTTCACAAAAGCCACAGCTTGCAGAAATCTAAATACAGGACCCTTCTACACTGCCAGAAATTCCAGGTTATCGAAGCAGAAAATTCACATTATCTGCTTTGAACTGGAATATCTTATTCTACACTGCCATATAATCCAGTTCAAAGCAGATAATGTGGATTTTATTCAGCTGTGTAGATGGGGCCACAGTGGGCCCTTGCTATCTCCTGGGGTTTGGTTCCAGGACATGTACAGACAGACACCCTGGACCCCAAAACCTGTTGATACCCAAGTCTCACCGTATATTATGGTGTAGTGAAATGGAGTCTCTTATACAAAATGGCAAAGCCAAGGCTCACATTTAGGATTACTGTGTATGTGTGTGAATATTTTCAAGTTATTAAAAGTTGAATCTGAGGATTCAGAATTCCTAGATACAACCAATCTGTTTGCAGAAAAAGATAAGTCTCTAGGCTTTGGTAAATTATATAAAATTATACCTCTTGTCATAAAGTTACAAACAATTCAGCACCCTTGGTCAAAAACTAACATCAATTCGGTCTTTAAAAATATATTACCACTGGCCAACACATATTTTGATGCCTCAAATGTTAAAACCTGTTTCTGGGTATATTTGACCTGATTTCAGAAATGCCACCAGTTTCCTCTATCAGCTCTAGATTTTGAGATAAAGAACATATGCCATATACCAGTTTTCATCTGCTTGTCCACATAAAACTATGATAACCATATCAAAGAAACGATAGTTGATGTGGTTTATCCAATGCAATTTGCTGAATCAGCACCTCAAATAATCCCAGGAACAGGTCTAAAAGCCAAGATTGTTTCAGCTGTGTAATAGTTGCAACTGCCAAGGTTTTCATTGCCAAATATAGTGGAATTTGCTTTAAAATGCCAAAATACCTGGATTGTTTTGCGCTGCCCATTTGTGTTGTAAACTTAATACAGTTTGATACCATTTTATCTGCCGTGGTTCATTGCTATGGAATCATGGGAGCTGTAGTTTGACAAGGTCTTTAGCCTTTTCTGTTGAAGAGTGTTACAAACCCCATGATTCCATGTCATTGAGCCATAGCATTTAAAGTGCTGTCAGACCGCATTAATTCTACAATGACGATGCATTATTTAAGGCAAATTTCACTATATTTGGAAATGAAAAGCTTGAGAGTTGTAATTTCTTTAACTATGATTGCAGTCTTTTTGAAGACACACACTGGAGCATACACATATGATTTAGAGTATATTATACACAGAAAATAGGAATTAAGCACTCTTTAAAAAGGTACCACACACATAGAAAGGGATAGGAAAGGGTAAACCAACAGTTTCCAGAAAAGGATCAGAAACACTCAGAACCAGGGTCCTTCCACATGGCTGTATAATATCTAAATTGAACTGTGTTATATGGCATTGTGGACTAAGGACCATTTCACACAACCATATAACCCAGAATATCAAGGAAGATAATCCCACAATATCTTGTTTGAACTGAGGCCCCTTCTACACAGCTGAATAAAATCCCACATTTTCTGCTTTGAACTGAGATATATGTCAGTGTGGACTCAGATAATCCATTTCAAAGCAGATCTTGTGGGATTTTCTGTTGATATTCTGGGTTATATGGCTGTGTGGAAGGGCCCTGTGTAGATGGGGTCTACATTGAGTCTACATTGTCATGTATTCCTGTTTAAAGCGGATAATCTGGGATTTTATTCAACTGTGTGGAAGGGGCCTCAGATAACCCAGGACCTTTCCACACAGCCCTATATCCCAGAATATCAAGGCAGAAAATATCAAATTATCTCAGTGTGGACTCAGATAACCCAGTTCAAAGCAGATACTGTGAGATTTCCTGCCTTGATATTCTGGGATATAGGACTGTGTGGAAGGCCCCCTAGAGAATATCAAGGCAAAAAAATCCTACAATATCTGCTTTGAAATGGGTTACCTAAGTCCACACTCAGATAATGTGGGATTTCCTGCTTTGATATTCTGGGATATAGGGCTGTGTGGAAGGCCCTATGTTATCTGAATCCACACTGCCATATAATCCTATTCAATGCAAAAAATGTGGAATTTTATTTAGCTGTGTAGAAGGGGCATGGGCAATATGGTTGTGTGGAGGGACCCTAAAATATAATATGAGTTTGTATTGTTGAAGGCTTTCATGGCTGGAATCACTGGGTTGTTGTAGGTTTTTCAGGCTATGTGGCCATTTTTTTTGTTGTGTCAGGAGGGACTTGAGAAACTGCAAGTCGCTTCTGGTGTGAGAGAATTGGCTGTCTGCAAAGACGTTGCCCAGGGGCAATGGATGATTTGATGTTTTTATCATCCTTGTGGGAGGCTTCTCTCATGTCCCCGCATGAGCAACTGGAGCTGATAGAGGGAGCTCATCTGCCTCTCCCCGGATGCGAACCTGCGACCTGTCAGTCTTCAGTCCTGCCAGCACAGGGGTTTAACCACTGCGTCACCGGGGGCTCCTATATGGCCATGTTCTAGAAGCATTCTCTCCTGACGTTTCACCTGCATCCTCAGAGGTTGTGAGGTCTATGAGTTTATCCATTTTTCTCCTATGTATAGAGACTTTGTGGACACTGCCTGGTTTGTAAAAAGACCGCCTTGAATTCCTATACTGAGAGAAAGGAGGTATACAGTAAATAAATAAGAAACGGATAGGCCCCTTCTACACTGCCATATAAAATCTAGATTATCTGCTTTGGACTGAATTATATGGCAGTGCAGGCTGATATTATCCACTTCAAAGCATATGATGTGGATTATCTGCCTTGATATTGTGGGTTTTATGGCTGTGTGGAAGGGCCCCTAGACAAGCTTGAGAGAGGTAACAAGCATCATTTTTGAAAGCCTGGAATATAACGGTCAACATGTTATATATTATAGTGTATACTTCTGCCTGTTGTCGTGGCAGAGTACATTTTTTGGGGGGAACGAAGGTACAGAGCCACCCTCGACCTTATCTCCCCAACTTACTACTTCCACAAACTGGGATGCAATTGATTGTTTCCATTATTATTATTGCTGTTGTTATTATTGTTGAATATGGGGGCATTCCATCAATGAAAGAGGAAAACCCTCCCCAAGGAAGGGCTATCCCCAGGCGTCCTCTTCCCTCCCTCCGTCAGAGTTGACCAAACGAGAGCGTTTTCCCTTCAGCTTTTCCCTGAGGTAAATCCCAGCCATTTACCTGGACAGGGAGCAGCGCTGCCCAGAGCCTCCAAGCCTCCCAGAGCAAAGAAACCCGACCAGCCAGCTTCACCCGGGGCTGCTTTGCTTGCCGCCGTCCTCGCCTGGGCCCAGGGGAAAGAAGGCTCCCCTCCCCGGCTGGGCTCCACCCGCTGCGCCTGAAACTCGCCTGCTTCCCCTCAGAGCCTGGCTCTGGAGGCCGCCATCTTCGCTCGGGCAGGGAAGCCGCCCTCCCTCCCGCGCGCAGGCGCAGTCGCTGCTGCCCAGCGTGTCACGCGACGCGTTCAGCTGATCGGCGCTCGCGCTGATGCTGTCTTCCCTCCGTTGCCGGGAGTTCGGAGTCTCCCCTCTTCCTGATCAGGAGAGCAGAGCATGCGCAGAAGGGAGAGCCGGCCAGGCAAAGTCCGGGGCGGGGGGAGGGGGGCTGGAGAGGGATGGAAAGGCTTGTGTTCTACTTGAAGGGGAGCATTGAGGAAAGGCGCCGTCTTTCTTGGAAGCTCAGCTGGGTCGGTCCTGGGTAGTACTTGGAGGGGAGACGGATAATGAATGGCACATGCTGCTAGCTACATTTCAGAGGCATAACTAGAGATGTGTGATCTGTTGAAAAATGGTTCAAAGGTCGTTACAAAACTCGGGGCGCTGGCAGTTCGTTTCTAATGTACAGTTTGTGAAAATTTCGTTACAGTAATCTTGTATATAAATAAAAATGTAATGTTCGTTAGTGGGATGAACAGAACTCAAAAACCACTGGACGAATTGACACCAAATTTGGACACAAGATACCTAACAACCCAATGTATGTCCTTCACTAAAAAAAAATGATTTTGTCATTTGGGAGTTGTAGTTGCTGGGATTTATAGTTCACCTACAATCAAAGAGCATTCTGAACCCCACCAACAAGAAAATTGGGCCAAACTCGGCACACAGTTCTCCCCTTCCAGAAAATACTGGAAGGGTTTGGTGGGCCGTGTCCATTGGTTTTGGAGTTGTAATTCACCTACATCCAGAGAGCACTGTTTTGTTGTTGTTGTTGTTGTTTGTTGTGTCAGGAGCATCCTGTTGTGAGAGAATTGGCCGTCTGCAAGGACGTTGCCCAGGGGACGTCCGGATGATTTTGATGTTTTATCACCCTTGTGGGAGGCTTCTCCCATGTCCCCGCATGAGGAGCTGGAGCTGATAGAGGGAGCTCATCCGCCTCTCCCCAGATTCGAACCTGTGACCTGTCGGTCTTCAGTCCTGCCGGCACAGGACTTTAACCCACTGCGCTACCGGGGGCTCCAAGAGATCACTGTGGACTCAAACAATGATGGATCTGGACCAAACTCTACACAAAGACTCAATATGCCCAAATGTGAACACTGGTGGAGTTTGGGGAAAATAGAATCTTGACATTTGGGAGTTGTAGTTGCTGGGATTTATAGTTCACCTACAATCAAAGAGCATTCTGAACCCCACCAACGATAGAATTGGGCCAAACCTCCCACACAGAACCCCCATGTGAGCCACAACAACACGTGGCAGGGGACGGCTAGTATATATAAATAAAAATGTAATGTTCGTTTGTGGGATTAACATAACTCAAAAACCACTGGACAAATTGACACCAAATGTGGACACAATGCACCTATCAGGCCAACGAGTGATCATCACTCATTAAAAACACTGGAAAACACAACAGAAAAGACTTTAAAAGCCAAAAAAAAAAACCCCACCAAAAATACATTACAACGCATGTGCAAAACTATATATATTTATATATACACACATACATACACATACACAAATATATACACACGCAAAACACATATACACAGACTGGGCCACAGCAACACGTGATGGGGACAGCTAGTCTATATAAATAAAAATGTAATGTTCGTTTGTGGGATTAACAGAACTCAAAAACCACTGGGCAAATTGTCATCAAATTTGGACACAAGACACCTAACAACCCAATGTATGTCCTTCACTAAAAAAAATTATTTTGTCATTTGGGAGTTGTAGTTGCTGGGATTTATAGTTCACCTACAATCAAAGAGCATTCTGAACCCCACCTACGAGAAAATTGGGCCAAACTTCCCACACAGTTCTCCCATGACCAACAGAAAATACTGGAAGGGTTTGGTGATCCATGTCCTTTGGTTTTGGAGTTGTAGTTCACCTACATCCAGAGATCACTGTGTACTCAAACAACGATGGATCTGGGGCAAACTCTACACGGATACTCAATATGCCCAAATGTGAACACTGGTGGAGTTTGCGGAAAATAGAATCTTGACATCTGGGAGTTGTAGTTGCTGGGATTTATAGTTCACCTACAATCACAGGGCATTCTGAACTCCACCAACAATAGAATTGAGCCAAACCTCCCACACAGAACCCCCATGTGGGCCACAGCAACGCGTGGCAGGGGACAGCTAGGATATAAATAAAAAGGTAATGCTTGTTTGTGGGATTAACACAACTCGAAAACCACTGGACGAATTGACACCAAATTTGGACACAATTCAGCTTTCAGGCCAAGGAGTGACCATCACTCAAAAATGATTTTGTCATTTGGGAGTTGTAGTTGCTGGGATTTATAGTTCACCTACAATCAAAGAGCATTCTGAACTCCACCAATGAGAAAATTGGGCCAAACTTGGCACACAGTTTTCCCATGACCAACAGAAAATACTGGAAGGGTTTGGTGGGCAGTGCCCTTTGGTTTTGGAGTTGTAGTTCACCTACATCCAGAGATCACTGTGAACTCAAACAATGATGGATCTGGACCAAATTCTACACAAAGACTCAATATGCCCAAATGTGAACACAGATGGAGTTTGGGGGAAATAGACCTTGACATTTAGGAGTTGTAGTTGCTGGACGTGTGGGTCTCTCTCTCCCACCTGCACAAAGGTTTCACTTCTCACAGCTTTTGCTGGGGGTTAAAGAAATAGATCCACAGCTCTGCTGGGGAGTAAAGAAATAGTTCCTACATCCTTTGTGGAGAAACTAAAGGACACCTTTCAGCTTGGCAGATCTACAGGAACCTTGCCTGGTAAGGGACCACTCGGGCTATCCATAAAGAAGCTTGGAGCCGGGAGTAGGGGCCTCATGCCAGCAAGGTAAAGAGAGATTGCCCAGGGAGGGGTCAAAGGATTTCCCTAAGGAAGAAAGGAACAGTTTACCACCAGTTGCCTGCCCCCTGATAGCAGATTGAGGAAGCTACCGGTTTTCCAAGGTTATAAAGTGTTTGATTCATTTGTTTGAAGATTTAAGCCCAAATAAAGAATTTTGTTGAATTTATCTTGAGCCTCAATAGAACTTCGTGTTGGGAAATCTAAGGGGCCCTTCAGTTGAGGCACCCCGGCGTCCCGTTGGGCATACAGAAGGCACGTCCTGTAAACAGACATTACTTCAGGCCCAGCGTGCGACAGCACAGTATCTATCGAACCCACTAGAGCAGGCATCTTCAAACTGCGGCTCTCCAGATGTTTGGGTCTCCAACTCCCAGAAGCCCTAGCCAGCTTATTCAATTGTCAGGAATTCTGGGAGTTGGAGGCTAAAACAGCTGAAGGGCCGCAGTTTGAGGATGCCTAAAGGCTCTGGAACAGTGTTTCTCAACCTGGGGGTCGGGACCCCTGTGGGGGTCATGAGGGGGTGTCATAGAGGTCGCCAAAGACCATCAGAAAACATAGTATTTTCTGTTGGTCATGGGGGTTCTGTGTGGGAAGTTTGGTCCAATTCTATCATTGGTGGGGTTCAGAATGCTATTTCATTTTGGGTGAACTATAAATCCCAACTACAACTCCCAAATGTCAAGGTCTATTTTCCCTAAACTCCACCAGTGTTCACATCTGGGCATATTAAGTATTTGTGCCAAGTTTGGTCCAGATCCACCATTGTTTGAGTCCACAGTGTTCTCTGGGTGTAGGTGAACAACAACTCCAAAACTCAAGGTCAATGTCCACCAGACCCTCCCAGTATTTTCTCTTGGTCATGGGAATTCTGTGTGCCAAGTTTGATCTAATTCCATCATTGGTGGAGTTCAGAAGGCTCTTTGATTGTAGGTGAACTATAAATCCCAGCAACTCCAACATTCCCAAATGACAAAATCAATCACCCCCATCCCACCAGTATTCAAATTTGGGCATATTGGGTATTTGGGATTTGGAAATACATCCTGCAGATCAGATATTTACATTGCGATTCATAACAGTATCAAAATGACAGTTCTGAAGTAGCAACAAAAATAATGTTCTGGTTGGGGTCACCACCACATGAGGTACTCTATTAAGGGGTCACAGCATTAGGAAGGTTGAGAAACACTGCTCTGGAAGAACTTAGCAGCAACTATGTCCCAAACTTTAGCAAAGCTAAACCCTTTAATTAATATATAAAATGATACTTTTTGTGTGACTTGTATTTTTGTGTACTGTATCAATTTCCAAATGTATACATTTGTATCAAATGTATCCTGAAGGTATCTGTTGTCCCCATACCCCCTGTTTGCATAAGCTTCTGGGTATGGAGATTGCTATATAATTAACAAAAAGCATTTCTAGTGATCTTCCAAGTCAGATAAAATCAAATCCTTTATATATATGAGACCAATAATCCCTTTTGTCACCAAGATGAACTTAAGAGGGTTTTTTTCTGCTCAGTTTAAGGCAGGACTTGCAAGCATGTAGCTGGGGGGGGGGGCTTGAGGGGCTTCAGCCCCCCCCCCCGAAATTCTCGGGGTGGTCTGCGAGAAGGCCTTACTGGTACATTATTTAAACTGTTATGGTTATTCATATCATGATTTGATCACCATGCTCAATATATCCCATATGCATGGGGGTATTGGGGTAACGATACAAAAGGTTTGCTAGGGTGGACCCTCTTTCACTCAGACTTAGCCCCCCCCCTATTCAAACTCAGCCCCCCTCCCCCTGAATCAAAATCCTGACTATGGGCCTGGGCAGGAGGCTGCCATTTTCATGAAAGAGAAGACTAAATAAATATAAATACATTAGCCTTCTGAATAGGCAGCCCAGCTCCTGGTTATTTGGGATTGTCACCTATTGTCCTTTGAGTCTTGCCTCTTTGTCCCATCGGAATTGGACACTTATGTCCATCCAGGAATCATCTGCATACCAATGTCATCACCCTTTTCTGTTTTGTACTCTCCATGTGGACGTATTTGCAACAGGCTGGACCTTTAACCCCTCCAATGATCAGCTGTTCTTCTTCCCTCCACAGGGATCTTCTCCTGTCAATAATGTCAGGGAAACCCCCA